GAGCAAGGACCCGGCCACCAGGCGCTCGCCTGCGAGCCCCAACCCCGGGCCTGGCTCCAGAGTGGGGCCCCGGTGACGCCAATCCGGGCGACGTGAACCTCTTTGATTTAATTATTTTCTTCATCACAAAGGGGGGGGTTGAACCGCTATTTGTCTGATCCGTCGCCTAGGACCTGTTTGCCTTGGGAGACCCTACCAGGGGCGTTAAGCCCCCGACAACATAGCTCCTAGGTTCATTCGGATACTCAAACCCCTCCACCACGTTAAGGTTGCGATTCATGGAGGGGTCTGGGCTACACACCCCTGATATTCTGCCTGCCACGAGATGTGACATAAAATTGAATTTTTACCATGACACGGACCCCCTGTTGAACACCACTGCCTGAATGGTTGAACATTGTTCAACTGAAGACATGGTCTTCAGACAGTTCTGGACTGGATCAAGTAGGACTTTATTTTTATTTTATTTTTTTGCCTTAGCCTGGGGTAGGGGGGGGGGTAGCCTGTCTGCCTGTTGGACATTATCTGCTTCCATCTCTGAGACAGAGGAAAAAAAACAGGGGAGTTGAACAGAGCAGCAGTCAGGTGGGCACCTGGCTTCCCACACACTCAAAAAACCACTGGCTTCTCAGGCTGTTTGTCAAAACAGAAATGTTTTGTTGACGCCGTCTGAAATATCTTTCATTAAAATTAAACAAAACAAAACAAAACAAAAAGTTTCTGGATCTAAAACACTTCGTCAAAGGCACAGACCTGGAGACGAAGTCTGCCTGATCATAATGCAGCAGAGCAACTGTGACGGCTTCGGTGAGGCTCTTCTGCCCCCTTCTGGTTTCTTACTGCTATTGCAAAATCTCTGACAGCCTGAACTACAAAATTGCGGTCCAAAGCGCCACCTCGTGCGCAAATTTAGAAGTGAACGCACACAAGAGAGACGAGAGAGATACATTTATATTTCTACCACACGGTGGAACTCTCACCACGGTTAAGTGGGTGACACTTTTGCCTTACAAAACCAGTTCAATTCCAGGTGGTCGATGATGCTGTTTACACAAGTTCACATAATATCCACTGTATTTCTTAACAAAATTGACTGTATATCGTTTCTAAAGGATTTTAATAAATCTATACGTTAATGCTCATGTTCTAACAAGTAAGTGTCTATATAGTGTCTAAATAAATAATCAGTTTTTTTCTTCTATTTGAAGACATTCTAACGTTCTTGCAACTCTTACTTTTGCTTGTCGTTAAAACTTTTCAGTTTACTGTCACAACAGTAGGACATTCTTGTAATACTTTACAACACTGGTGTCCTGTTCTCTATTAGAATAGTATTTATAGTATATATTTTTCAAATATATTTTTTAATAAATATATAAATAAATATAAATAAAATAAATATTTACTGGTTTTTAATTTGATGAAAATGAAATCGAGGTCATTTAGTACTTCTTTTTCTTTCGGCTTTGTCGAAAGAATTCAGGCATCTTGTCAGTCTCTAAAATTCTGTTAAACAACCCAGGAAATCTACCTCCACTTCTCCTAAGCACTTCCATACTTCCACTGGTATGTCATCAGGACCAACTGACTTTCCACTCTTCATCCTCTTCAGGGCTTTTCTAACTTCATCCTTTCTAACCTGATCTACCTTCTTCCTACTAGTCTCTGGCTCCTCGTTTCTACTTTCCCTTTCATTTTCCTCATTTAACAACTCCTCAAAGTATTCCTTCCATCTTCTCAGCACACTTTCCTCACTTGTGATCACATTCCCCTCTCTGTCCTTAATCAACCTCACCTGCTGCACATCCTTCCCAGCTTGATTTCTCTGTCTCGCCAATCTATACAACTCCTTTTCTCCTTCCTTTGTTTCCAAACTCTCATACAACTCCTCATATGCCTTTTGTTTGGCCTTGGCCACTTCCCTCTTCACCTCCCTTGTCCTCTCTTTGTACTCCAGTCTGTTCTCTTCTGTTCTGTCACTGTCCCATCTCTTCTTCGCTAATCTCTTTCTCTGCACACTCTCCTGGATCTCCTCATTCCACCACCAGGTCTCTTTGTCCTCCTTTCTCTGCCCAGAGGACATACCTAGCACCTTCCTACCTGTCTCCCTCATCACTGCAGCTGTAGTCTCCCAATCATCTGGGAATATCTCAACACTACCCAGAACTGCCCTTACTTCCTTCCTGAAGTCTTCACAACATGTCTCTTTCCTTAGTTTCCACCACTTGATCTTCTGCTCTGTCTTCACTCTCTTCCTTTTTGTCACCTCCATCGTCATTTTACACACTACCATCCGATGTTGTTTGGCTACACTCTCACCTGCCACCACCTTACAGTCTCTAATCTCCCTCAGATTACATCTTCTACATAGAATATAATCTATCTGTGTGGACCTGCCTCCACTCTTGTAAGTCACCCTATGTTCCTCTTTCTTTTGGAAATATGTGTTTACCACAGCCATTTCCATTCTCTTTGCAAAATCTACCACTGCCTGTCCTTCTACGTTTCTCTCCCTAACACCAAACCTGCCTATCACTTCCTCATCTCCTCTGTTCCCTTCCCCTACATGACCATTTAGGTCTGCTCCAATCACCACTCTCTCTCTCCTGGGGATACTCTCTACCATCCAATCTAGCTCCTTCCAGAACTTCTCCTTTTCTTCCAACTCACAGCCCACCTGTGGGGCATAACCACTAACAACATTAATCATCTCTCCTTCTACTTCTACCTTCACACACATCAACCTGTCTGACTCTCTTTTCACCTCTACCACATTTCTTACATATTCTTCCTTTAGGATCACCCCTACTCCATTTCTCTTCCCATCTGAACCATGATAAAACAGTTTGTAGCCTCCTCCAATGTTTCGAGCCTTGCTGCCATTCCACCTGGTCTCCTGCACACACAAAATGTCTACTCTTCTTCTCTCCATCACATCAGCTAGCGAGGTCATTTAGTACAAACTGCTCTATTTTTTTGGGGGGGGGGGTATTACTAATATTATTAATCCAAAAATGTGAAACAGCAGAAGAGGAATTAATAAAATACTACATTTGTATTTGTCATTGCTCCTTAAAATATGTTTAACAAACACATCTGTATGAGACAGTTTTACATCACTGTCGTTTTAATAATATGCAATGCATCTTGGACTTCAGCACCCTCTGCTGGATAATAAAGGAACTGTTTCGGATCCTTAGCAATTTTTGTTTGTTTGTTTGTTTTTAACCAGACGACCTCCCTGACCCAACCCTACATTTAGCTGTTGGGCCCACATGAATGAGTAAAAGGACCAACCTGAGGTTAAATGTTAATCAAGGGAACATCAACGTGCAGCCGTTTAAGTTTTTATTTTGAAAGTAAGACACTCTGGACACCTGCCACCAGAACCTCCATAGAATAAACTGCATTTATATTTTATGTCACTGTAGTCAATATCTTATTGTAGTTCAATAAGATATTGCTTTAAAAAGAATATTGTACATCAGAGATAATATACATTTTATTACATTATTTGATAAAATAATGGAGTAATATAGGAAGGGACATAATGTAAAGCAATGTTTCCCAAAGACAAGTGGGTCACAAGAGATTTTTTTTTTTTTTGGGTTGTCTCGCATCATGTTTCCCAGGAGTTTACGAATAATGTCTATTGACTTGGGTTGCGAAGGTTTGTGACTTTTAAAATATGGGTCCCCAGAAAAAAAAGTTTGGGAAACACTGATGTAAAGAACTAAAAAATATCTTTATTAGCATAATGACTTTTTAGTTCTTTTTGACATTTAAATTCTGCAGCATTTAAATAAAAAAACAAAAAATTTATGAAATGTTGTTCACTAAGGTGACGGGTTAAAGGCTGCATGACAATAAATCACTTTCACTTTAACCTGAAACTACTAAAAAAATGACGTGGGTCTCACCGAGCTGGTGGGCCTTTTTCAGGCAGGACAGTGAGGCATTGAGTCGAGCACACTCCTCCTCATTGGCACCAAACTTCTGCAGCAGCTCACACACCTGCTCCTCATTCATGTCGAGCAGACCCTCCAGGGTCACCTCACCTGGAATCTCCTGCAGAACACATACAGCACAGGTTTAAACCACAATTATTAGCACTATTAATCCAACAGATTGAACAATTACTGTAAATGTCAGTAATGGCCGACAAGTTGAGGTTATGAAGTATCAGCTTTAACTAGTTTAATCAGTCCAGTTTAACCAGTTGTTCATATTACTTCTATCATGTAATCCGTATTGATGAAAAGGATTAAACTGTACAACAAATATTCTGTTTTTAAAGCTACTGCCAAAATGCACTAATGACTAAAATTAACCAACTTGATGAAGCTAACGTCTGGTTAAACATATTTTTATTAAAGGCAATTAAATTGCGATTACCGTATTTTCCGAACTATGAGTAGCTGCGGAGTAAAAGTCGCACCAGCCAGAAAATGCATAATGAAGAAGAAAAAAACATACAGTGGTATGAAAAAGTTTGGGCACCCCTGATCATTTTCAAGATTGTCCTTTATGTATCATTGGTTGTTCGGAACAACAATTTCAATTAAATATATCATATAGCAAACAAATACAGTAATATTTAAGTGAAATGAAGTTTATAGGATTTCCAGAAAGTGTGCAATAATTACATAAACAAAAGTAGGCATGTGCATAAATTTGGGCACCCTTGTTGTTTTATTGATTTGAATACCTTTTGCACTAATTATTGGAACACAAAATTTGTTTGGTAAGCTCATTGACCCTTGACTAAATACACAGGTGAAGCCAATCATGAGAAAGGGTATTTAAGGTGGCCAGTTGCAAGTTGTTCTCCCCTTTGCATCTTCTCTGAAGACTGGCAACATGGGAGCCTCAAAACAACTGTCAAATGACCTGAAAACAAAGATTGTTCAACATCATGGTTTAGAGGAAGGATACAAAAAGCTAGCTCAGAGATTTCAGCTGTCAGTTTCCACTGTGAGGAACATAGTGAGGAAATGGAAGACCACAG